AATTGTAAACCGGGTTTCTTGAATCTGGCAATGGCTCTTCCACCTTTAATTAGAAAAATTAGTTTTACGCAGACGTGCTGCTGTTCTTCTGTTCTTATTGCTTGTGCGAACTTCAGCATTTGCGCAGCCTTCAGCAAAACGTCATGAAGATAGTTATTTGGGCACGTATAAGTCCTTATTTGCACTAAGAAAAGGAATGGCTGCACAAGTTTTTTCAACCCCTTTTCTACCCTTCGGGTAAAGACATCAAATCAAAACTAACGATGTTGTTGGCAATCCCTTCTTTCCTCAGTCTTTACTTATGCCTTGAGAGGCAAAATTGACTTTTTGAAACTGTCAGTGAATTCACTGGCTCTAAAACCCTTTTCAGTGTGTGTGAGGATTGTCAAATATCCCTTCATAATTCCATCCGTCCTTATGGTCACAGGCATTTACTTCACGCAGGTGTTCCTGTAATCACTGTCTTGTATTATAGAAGTAAATTGCTCTTCAACTTGCGGATGACTTGTGTACTGCTTTGAAGCCACCACCAGTGCGGGGGAGTTTGCTCCTGCTATCCGTCTATCGGGTGTGAATAATGGGCAAATGCTAAAACCTCTCTTCATTCCCCTAAATATTTGACCAAGAGATTAATTGCATTTGCTTCAGTTGTGCGTGATGGGTGAGAGATACCATTGCTGCTCATGGGTAGGGGAGTTGCTGAAACGGAATGCAGTGGTACGTTAAAGACATTTTGTTTACTTCTTACAGTTGCGTATTACACAATGCATGTTAATCAAGTTAGACCTCTCAACAATTGCCTATTCACAAGAGTCCACTATGTCTCCGGACTTATACTTCAACACGCTACAAGTTGTGCCATTATCAAAGCAGCTTATTTATCTATTGACGCTGCTTATCGAGACATCCTGCCTACCGAATATTTTGACATTCTTCCCAATCTCTCTATCCCATAATTTTGGATGATGCTGATAATGGTGGTAGTGGTCGCAGAAGTAACTGTGAAGACAATGGTGATGATGTTGACGGTAGTGGTGTTGTTACCCTACTCATAACTCCAAAGTGTAGTTCCTCTTTTAGACACTTCATTATTTAATATATTATTCACTTAACGCTCTGAGTGCTATCTATCTTCGCCAGTTCCTCAGTCCTTGATTTTGCCTGAAGAACAGTGGGAGGAAATGCTTTGTGTAGTGACTTACAAAGATCACAAATAGTTCTTGTCAGCCTGAGATTGAGTGAATAAGTGGGGTGAAGGAGTGAGTGAAGGGACTGGGATTGAACAGAAAATGAATAAATGATTTGTGGATGAATACTCGAATAAAGGAAATGTACCTATTAAAGCAAAAATTTGGTATCACTTTGGTGAGAATGAACACATTCGTAGAATAAGGGAGTGAATGGGCGAATTAATTTATTTTAATTGGAAAGCATGCAGAAAGAATACACATACATATATATATGTATATACATATATAATGTATAAAAGATCTAGCAGACGTGCTAACCATTATTCCGAAATTCACTCTGAACAAGTTTGCTTGAGTCGCGTCGATATTAGATGGAAATTACTTACAGTTTGCCTTCGGTCTTCTGGTATGTGCCTCAAAATTAATGCGTCGAAGGGGTTTACAGCTAAAAATAAAGGGAAGTGGACTTAAATGTCACAGGTTAGAAAGAGGTGCAATCGTGGTGGTGCTACATGTGGTACTGCATCACTTTCTCAGTGACTAGCCGGAGGCATCCTAAACTTGCCCACTTTATACACCATAAATTAGGATAGCATTCAATAAAATAGGTATTCAGTGCGATTCACGAGGAGTCACTGAACAACTTCTAATCTCACCTTTTATATCGATAAAGCAATTGAGGTAGAGAGTTGCCGTGACATCAGCTTACGATCTGCATCAATGTTGGTTTCATAGTCAAGTTGTTTTGGCCTGACGCTTTCAAGTGAAGGAGTGGGATTCTCGCATTGGTAGTGCATTCCCTAAGGAAAGTGTATCAGGCCTGATTAAGCACGTACCTCGGGAAGATAGACATTAGTAATAGTGAATGTTTGTGACAGATTAGAGACCTTCTGGAGTGAAGAATCACCCAGCAATTACAGCAACACTTGTGCTGCCTCGACCAGTTCCGACTGGATACGATTATTGTTGTGTGGGCAAATTCCTTAGCGATGGTAGCAATGGCCTCAAGGCCAGGGGACAGGGGAAGTAGGCGCTATTAGTTGACCAGACTGACATTTTATACAGCTCCAACTAGCATTTCTGCCAACTGAAACTAACACTTTTACATAAAATTAGCACAGTTTTGAGGATTTTTGTGGAAATTCAAACAGTTCCACGTACTCGTACTATTTCGTTTCTCTTCTAACCTATAGCAGCTGGTGTACCTAAAGCAGTGAAGAGGAAATTTCGTCGCAATTATTGTCAGGATTCATAAATGGGAGAAGCGAGCTTCTGATAGGCACGAAGCTTACTTTGAGTGAGACCCATTTTTATAAAGGCCCTTATTTGCGCACATATCGCCCAAACAATTGCGGAAATGGTGTTTGCGTCTTCGGAGGCAATTGTCTTTTCAAGAATATTAATTTTGCTAGACAAAATGTCATTCATTTGGTTTTCTAATTAATGTTGTGTACTCCAAGTGGGCTAGAAATGGGACGAAGCAGTTATGGTGGCTATATTTAATGCCCTACAGCTTGACGGCTGAATAGACGGAGTGGTGGATAGAATGATGCAGAAGGGATGAACAGGTGTACTTGCATATAGTATACGGGTTTGTAAATAAAAGAATCTGGTAGTAAAGAATAAAATAAAGGAAGGAAGGATGGAATAGTGGATGAGCAAGTAAATGGGTACATCGATGAACATAATAGCATGTAGATTTCAGGAATCACTTGCCCTAATAACATGGAAACACTTGTCGGTGTATGAGCTGGAATTAGGCAGACCGCGAATGCACATCTGAATGCCTTCCTCAGACAGAGGCAACATAACACAAAACGAAGGATAATCAGCAATATCGAGGGTTATCAGGTTCTCCTGCGACAGCATATTCACATCAACCTCTGTGAAAAGTCACTTTACCATAAAACTCAAATTTCCCCTGAGCAGTAGGGGAGTCGCACACGAAGCAGACAATCTGAAACTACTGTACGAAATTTGGAGCTTGAAGGGAGCACTGGTCCCATGTGGTTTCTAGACGGACATGTAGCTGTAGACATGATGCCAGCTCGTCCAATTTACTCCGCATTAATGATATTCAGACAATTAATTTTGTTGTATTTGTTAGCAGACGAATAAAGTAAGGAAAAATCGCAAGTTCACACTCCCTTATTAGTGAGAATAGGCATCCTGTAAAGTGGAAGAGACGTTAGAGTGAAGGCATGACATTTGATTTTATGCTTTGAAGGGAATGCTGGAGTTGGGCAACGAGCGACACATCATAGGTGTGTCTATCTTAGACGCACCCAGTCATAATGGAAGCCAACAGCGTCAACTGGTGTGTCTGTGTGTATGTGTTGGTGTGTCTGGGAATCCTTGTATATACAGCAGTATTTGATGATAATCGAAGTCGCAAAACCGATGGGCATCTACTTGCACGAAGTAATTTTAAGCACAGTGCAGTAGGGTTATGTCTCTTCCTGGACAGCTCTTTTACGAATAATCTGTGGTAAAATTGACGATTCTCGTAGCATGGCTCAGCTGTGCGGCTAAGATCTTCTCTGTCGACGTTGTACTGAAGGCAGTGCACAAATGCAAGGATGAATTTTAATGATGTCCCTGCGCCCACACCGTGCATTTCCTTCTCTCCATAACGCAATAACTCTTCCGCAATTTTCTGCGTTGAACCGTTGGGAAATCGTACTTTAGGACGCCAGCGCAATGTGGTGTTTTTAACATCATTGTGACTACCAATTGCGCCGTTAACCACAATATGTTCGGGTGATCGTATAACCGATGTCTCGACAGCGAATTGTGGAATTATGACACTGCAAATTTGTTGGGTAAGAAAAGGTACTTCTCACCTAATAGACATCTTCAGTACTAAGCCCACCTCGTAAGGACCACCCACTTTAAATTTGGTCGCAGGTAAGCATATATCGCCATCCACCTCCTCCACTTCAAACGTCCTCTCATCTGCAGGAACGTTCATTCTTGCGTAGAGGAAACCAATGCTCTATACAAAGAAGGAGAATCAACTTTGGTAGTTGACTGTGCTTGCCTCATGCAAATCGGAACTAAGCAATAAATTGAAATACAGCTTTGGAGATAGGCATATGCTCTGACTGCTCCACAGAAAGAAGTGAACGTTACTAGTTTCGAATAGCGTTTCATACGGCGAAGGCATAGGCCGCACCTCTGGAATCATCCAAATGGGTTGACTTTCGTCAGCACTACTTTGTTTATAGTGTTCATATGCGAGAGCGAAACCCCCAGTATCGAGGACTTCAAAGGAACGACTAGCCTTTAAAGTGAGCCCAGTACCCCTATTTGTAACAGCAGTTATTGTATATGGATCCGCCTATAGTGCTGTTATTACCGATGTGCATCACTTACGGCTAAAATGAAGACAGTAGTGTATGTAGTACCGGCAATCGTCTCTTCAAGATACTGGTCGGGGTCTCACCGACTCCTGATATGCCACGTCAATTCCTTGACTCCACCTCCAATGATATTTGCCTTGAATGCGATTCTGCTTATCCTATTGAAGATGTCAAACCATCCTCTGCAACCAGAGAGAATTTTGGATCCCACTTACTCGAATATGGCAATTCCACCAATAATTGGTTGCACTGGTCCAACCATTAAGGAAAGATAATGGATACGTGAAGGTTGTCAAGGTGAACGTACCAGATGATGGGTCCATTTGGGCGGTGGATGGGACCACATTGATGAAAGCTTTAGCACGCATTGGCGTGGCTTTTTGCTCCCATGCATAAAGTTCTAGTACGGCTACCACAGTGTGCACACCTTCTCGAGTGAAAGATCCGTAGAAATTTACTGTTTCTCTCATATACAGGTGCAGTTGTATCTACAAATCAGTGCTTGTTTGTGTATCGGGTGGGTCAGTCCGCATGCAACTGTACAGCCTTCACAAATGTGGCATGGCGCGAGTGGGCTTTTCTCTGCACTCATGCTAATGCTACTTTAAACCCTACGTTTTAGTTAGCAATGAGTTTTGGCAAGAGATTTAACTCGTCGTTATGATACTCAAGTAGTTAACCATCTACCTGCCTAAAGGACTGACTTCTGACCTAAAGGACTTTAAAGGGAGGGTAGTTTAAGTACTTGGTACCGTTTTAGTGGAAGAGTGGTATGCTAGAGGTTGCTGTCTTGAATACTTCAACGGAGAAAGGGAGAATAGAATACGAAAGAATTGGCGAGTCCTGCTTATGAGTAAACATTCTGACCCAAAATTGTGCTCACTGCATAGCATCATTGGGTCTTATGCAGCACTTACAAGGCAAATGTTTTCATTGCAGCCTGTCCTTAAAGGTGAAGAAAAATTGTTTAACAACGTCTCTGAGACGCTGTGTCATCTCTGCTTTCCTGGTCTTTGTGCCAATACAAAAAAGTGTGGTCTTTTTTGTCCCATATGTTACCCTAGTTCACCAGGCTAATTTGGTGATAGTGGACTCGGAAGGCTGGTAGTAAGAAGCACCGTAGACGAGCATGTCCAAATATATTGTATGGGGTTCTACGCGGGTCATTAAGCCGGGGCTCCCTTTATGACCTCTAGAGCACCAGGCCATGGCGCCGTCAAACGATCATTTGTCTGGATCTTCTCAGAAGCTACTTTGAAAATAGTTAGTAGTAAATCGGGCACAACTGTATATTTTAACTCCTTACCAAATTTAGCAGAATCTTCAATCTGCGTGGATCTCGATCACCACCACACCACGAGTGTGTTTTTCCCTGCTAATGCAAATTCAAACCGTAAGTTTCAGTTCTCAATGAGAAATGGTACGAGATTTAACTCGCTTTTATGATACTCAGTAGCTAACTATCTACCTAACTAAAGGGCCGATTTCCAACTTATAAGCCACTAAGGAGAGAGTAATTTGAGGATTTGGTAATTTTTAGTGAAAAAGTGGTATGCCAGAGGTTGCTATTTGAATGCTTTAACAAAGAAAGAAGGGATAGACTACGAAAGAATTGGCAAATCCCACTTATGACTAGACATTGGCAACTAAAATTGTGCTCTATGTATGGCTTATTAAATCTTATGTCGCGCTTACAAAGCAAATAAATTCATTGCAGCCCGTCCGCAAAGGTGAAGAAAAATTAATTTAACAACATTTCTGAGATGCTGTGCCATCTTTGAGTTCGTGATCTTTGTGCCAATATAAGAATATGTGTGGCCTTTTTTCTGTCTCACGGGTTATTTTAATTCATTCAGCTAATTTGGTGATAGTGGGCGCGGAATGCTGGTCGCAAGAAGAGCCATGGACGAGAATGTTTAAATATACTGTGTGGATTCCCACCTGGGTCTTTGTGCCAAGGCTCCCTTTATGACCTCTAGAACATCAGGCCGTAGGGCCACTAAACAAACAATTGCCCGGATCTTCTCAAAAGCTATTTTTAAATTAATTGGCAGTAAATTGGGCATAATTGCATGTGTTTTAACTCCTTATCGCATTTAACAGACTCTTCACTCTGCGCGGTTCTCGGTCACCACATCTTTGTGGCGCCTCATTCACTTCGTGTTATTTATGTAGTATTTATCGTTTGCGGGAAGGGATAAGCACAAAATTTCAGATGCATTTTAATAAAAAGCGCTGCAATATTAGACGCAGATGTAATTGCAAAAGCAAGCAAAATTATTTCTTTTCATGCAATTGTTACGAAAATCAGATGGTTGGAAATGGTGGACTTATTTTAAAAGAAAACAAACAACCAGAACAGCATTAGTACATTGAAGGGGATGATATAAAAACGCGAACCTGTTCACCCTACAAAATAATTTTTTAATCCTGTCAGAATTATCGATAACAATCTGACGCATGGTTTTGTTAAAAAGGCGCCTTTGGCCCTCCTCTACTCTAACAACACCGAATGGACTGGCCTGCAGACAATGTCGAAGACACATTATCCCTTCTCTATAATTAGTATGTATGTATTCTGCACAATCATTATACCTTCCTTTGTCTTCCAGGGAGTCTTCTGTCGTGGGAGGTGCAATAATTACGGCATTCAATGTGAAGTGACAATGACCATATTGACGATGCCAGGAGCTCACCTGTCATAAGCTGTTGAATCCGTGTCAGATGGGGTGGGACATCTTTCAAGGCCTCCTTGAACATTTCCTAGACTAAATCCACAACTCAAGATAGCTTAAGGCGAGAGCGCACATTTATATACTAAGGTATTTGAGGAATATATTGGCCTATAACAAGCTGATATCAAAAACGTCAGGAATAGGTAACCCAAAGTGCCAAGGAGGAACTCGTATTCTCCTAAGTGATTCGCTTTATCGGCCAATGAATTAGCTGTTGCTATTGCAGATGGATTATCCTCATTTGCAGGATAGATTGACAGGCAGCATGGACCTTGCTCTCCCTACACCACCTAAAATCACGAATGCTTATGCCACTTCATCTCATTTTACAGATCAGATTACAATTGTGAAATAATTCAATAACTTACTACATGGTGTGAAATTCGCAATTAAGAGTACCATCATTCACAATGTACGATTTGGTGCAGAAGACCCATCAATAGGGCACAAGGATTGAATTTCTATTTCAATCAGAGGGAAGGAGGCCACGTGATGTCGACAAAGTTGTCTCCCAGGTGGAGACTAACTTTGACTCCCCACCAAATCTACTTCTCAATTTAATTCTCCTTTTTCATTACTGTTTCACCCCTTTTTGTAGCATCAAATTTGATTTATCATAACTTCGTGTAAGACTCGTTGCAATGCACGAATTAGGCATGGTTGATTTTACTGACAATGTTTTTAGTGTTTTAATGCTTTAACTTAATCCATACCAGATATTATTGCAGCCGGTGTTATAACGATCTGCAGCGACCTTCAGCATCGGCAGTGTATACAGCATCGAGTGCTGCGCTCACTTCGATATTGTCATGATCGTGAACACAGACATGGAGATGACCAAGTTTGCAAATGCCACACACTGTGCTCGCCTTTGTTCCAGAATTGTTAAAGGTGTCGCAGAGGGGAACATTGGTTGTGGTAAGTCCACATTTTTCAAGTATTTCGAGGATCTCTCACCCAACATCCAAGTCTTGCATGGACCTGCTGAACTGTGCAATGACGTGGAAGCATTCCATTTGATTTTGACACTAGTGAAATTCGCTTTGCATTGAATTGAAGGAAGTGAATCATGCAAGTGCGGAGAGATGAAGTACTCCTTTCATGCAGCCTCGTTGTTGCAACATGTCTGAAAGCAGGCAACGTGACTTCGGTTTGCTTGCCTTTTTTGCCAAACTCATCACTGACTTCTTTCTACAGATTGCTTCTGTGCGATTGTTTGCACGCTCCCTCCACAGTTGCCAATATTGCTTACTCCACGCGATGCAAATGAAGTAAATGTCGTCAAATGATTCCGACTATGTTTTACACATTCGTGGCGGGTTCGTAAAAGGAAGACTCCTTGCATTGAAGTTCTTTGACGACCCGCTTTTGTCACAGGTTTCTCCTTTCACAAAACACAACTGTATATGGCTTCAGTGGAAAATTATGCAATGATGACTTAAAGGTGTTTTGATACCTTTTTTCCAGCTTGATCTCATCCGTGCGTGATGTTGTGCCAATTTCTGAAGGCCTTTTGTGCACATCACCTAAACGTACCTTCTTCTTCTTCTTCTTCTTCAAACTCCTAGTCTATCTTCGATGTTCTCCTGAGATGTGTGCTGAAAGGATCCGAATGCGCGACAGCAGGAGTGAAAGCGCCATATTAGTGTTGTGTTCCTAGGGCTAATCATTTAAAATCGCCGCAATATTCTCTTGCTGCCGTATTTTGTGTCCAACGCATAAGATGTGTTGGAGAAAATAATGATGTCTTCGCGTGTGGAACGTCCACGTGGCACAGTTCATGTGCTATTTCTGTGAAAGTAATGTAGAAGGTAATAACCGACTACTTTAAATATAATGACCGCCTTTGCTACATTTGCGGAGGTCCCATTCCTCCAAGCCATCACTTCCCATTCAAAATTTTCCATTTTTGTCATTTTTAAGTTATTTATTACAACTGTTGCTGATCATCCCTCGTCAGTGTGCAATTTTCTTAAACTTACTCACCTTTATGTATGCTCGAATAAGCTGCAGTTCTCCCATATGTGTCTCACATTACCATTTCGTAATATCACATTCCCTGTTGTGGTTAATTCTTGCCTGTGCAATTACCATCTCCTGCTGTGAGATGCAAGTCTGTGTTTGATCAAACTGTTGCAACTTTGCTTACGATCATGATACGAATTACTGAGGGGGAGATGGTGCTTTTGTTCTTTTGGCATCAGGCGACTGAGTACACGCAAATCCAATGACCAGACGACATAGACTTCGTTCAACCTCACTTAGATTGGAATTGGATTGTAGACCCGTAGAATCGTGTACTCAAGCCTCAGTTCCACTGTCATTATGATTTACAATGCTCTGTGGTGTTCTTGTTTGAACCGATGGAACTACTCCTTCCCCTCCCACGTTTTCATCCTACCCTCATTCACGTTGCCATTCGACCTCTCTCCACCCAATGAAATTCATGCTACTTCTCATCCTGATGCAATGTGCGCCTCTTCTACCCATTACTGATGTTAGTGATAGGGAAGGCGGATGGCGGTCAGCTGATGAGATTACGACTTGTAGTTTAATGCAGGAGGTCATTGATTCTCCGAATACCGACTACTCAATGCACAGAGTGATTGCTGTGCTGATGACAGCGACTACGT